TTGACCGAGTGTATACCAGCATGTAAGATGTACATGTATACATGAAACTAGATGATTTGTCACCATTACTTATACATTGTTTAAAACCCAATGTTACAGTTTCATGTTGTCATGGTAGTAAATAATTGGTGCTAATTGGAAAATGAATTTCTGTCTGCTTCAAAAAACTTGAGTTGTTATCTATGGCCCTACCTGGTACACAGTACCTGCCCTCTTCATGCCCACCACTCCTATGACTGGCTTGCAATTCTCAATTGCAGTAGCAAAAATTTGTAAGGGATCCGTCTCTACTGAGTCAGGTTGGGATGATTGTCTTTGCCTAGGTTAAAAAAAATGCAAATAAGCAACTTGCTGCCTTTATTCCATTCAAGCATCTGGTCAAGGTGAGATCATGCACACACTATTACACACACTTTTCTCCTCCAAGCCACAGGAAATGTATCTGAGAAAATAGTGAATTTGACCAAAAACTGACGTGGAAACCAGAAATCATACGACTGAATTGATACCCTGCAAATGTGAGGAAAACAAGTCACTGTAGGTTAACACATTTCAGTTACAATATACAAGTCACTTTTTCATCTTAAGCAAGGTATTGAGTACAAGCTATTGTAAAAACTATGACTGCTTTGGTTGATTTCTGACGAGTAATTTTGCAAACTGACCAGTTAGTAAAGTTCAGAAATCCTAAAAGTGACTAGTGTTAATGTTTGCAGTCCACTGCTTTAATCAAGGTAACATTTACTGGTTTTTTTCCTTGAAACAAAAAAGGACATTTCAGATATATTCTGATGTTCACAGTTTTTTGAGTTTCATAGCATCAAACAATTGTATGTAAGTGTTCTCTTTTCAGGGAGGTAGCATAAAACACATCAGTTGGATGTCTAAAGATGCTTAAAGGATCAGAAAAAAAGTCAATTTTTAATAACATATCGACTGATGCAATGTAAGGAAGTATTGCAAAAAATATCATGATGAAGTAACTGTTGAAATGTTACTCCTGCAAAAATAAGTAGAAAAGAAACTCACTTCTTCAATTGTTCCTTCTTAATCTCTTCCATTGCCTGAAATAAAATAAAAGTAGAATGGTTAGAAAAATATCCAGCATACATACAGACTTGGAAATTGCCTGTACAACCATAACTTGAATAAAAAGGAACACTTAATAGGTGTGGCTGTATGGCTGTAACAGAATGTTGGTTTGTGTGTATGGGACAAATTTAACTCTAACACACAAGCTACTGATTCTTTAAAACAATCAACTCCTCTAAACCTGCTGTGATCTATTTTAGCAACCACCATTAAGCCTTCAGAAAATAAATGATCATACAAATAAGTTTGAAAACTTCCAATTGGCTAATGTTGCATTTATCAGTTCATTCCAGTTTCTTTTTTGGAGTTCCAAAATGGTTTTGGCTTAGATCCTTGACAAAAGTGTCATCTTCTGAACCATTCACAACATATTCTGGCAAACTTTGGGAGAAAAAGGTACCACTTTACAATTTTTGATGGGCATGTGGTTATTTCATGTATAAACTAACCTGCTCAACTTACCAGTTTAAAGATTTTCTGTGATAAAGACTTTTTACCACCCCACATCATGCAATTCACGAATTTGCTGAAATTTGGTTTAACAGTGTGAGTGAAAACTAAGAGACAAGTGCTTTTAAGAAAATCAGTCTGAATTGTCAAGTCAGATCAGTCATTTTTCTAAGTTTTATACATTGTAAAGAAACTGGGGGAAAAATAAATAAATTTAGAAAAAACAAATTTAATGTCATTTGCAATTAATTCGTCCACAGAGTTCTGGGTTCACACTCCAAGGAATGATACCAACTCTCTAGAGCACTGCCCTATCCCTCATTTCTCACAAGCAAAGAATGGTTTCTAAACAAAATGATACAGGCCTGGTCATATCTAACCTTGAACTTTTGAGGTGACAGTACAAAATTAAGTAAAATGTACTTTAGAAAAGTAAACTAAGACAATACAGTCCAACCCTACAATCTCCTACAAGGAATTAACACATGTACAGTGTACATATGAATTCTTACATCATCACCGTTACAGTAAACAAGCAAATGGGTAAGAGAAAAGAAAATTGTAAATTAGACACAAGTGTAATTTTGATTTAGAACAAAGTCATCTCAGGAAATTTGAAAGGAAATTTTTACAAACTTCAGAGGATGATTACTTGGCAGATTTTGAGAATAAATAAGTAATGTACCATACTTACTTGACAAGTTCATCATCTAACATTGAGGAGGTCATATGAGAATTTGCAGCTTTGGGAATTTCAACCTTTTCATCAGTATCAAATATATTTCTGCAGATTTTAACACAGAATCAGTAAATTAAAAAGAAATAACTTGAAGGTACCATATTACTTCTTTTTGGAAAGGGGAAATGAGCAATGATATTAGTTTAAAGCTTACATCTGCTTCAGAAGTTCATTCTGACTCAGTGATGATGTAGAATCTGTGTCATCAGTATCTTTTTTTGTTGGACTTGTACTGCCTTTGTCTTTATCTATGAAATCTCTGTTGATACACGACAAAAACACACTAATTCATCATCATGTTAATGAAATATAAAATAATTTGGTTTGAAAGTGCATGTAACAACATAATTTGGTACACTCTAAAAGTCTGGAAACAATTCACTTAAAGTCAAATATTGATTAGGGGTGCATTGAAGACAACATGACTGCAAGAAATACATGTATGAAGGTTGCAAACACTTACAACACATTTTCTTGGAATCAAAAATGTTTTGTAACATGTGTGGTGAGGAAAATTTAAGAACTTGGATGCTGTTATCAGGGTCTTTATGAATTACATGAAGTAGCAAGAGAATTATATAATTAACCAAGGAAATGTTGCTCAAATTTTTTATAGGCAGATGTGTGAACTTAATAAGTGGGTTAACTAATACAATTTACTGCATGTAGCCCCCAGAAGGGGGGATCAGAAGCCATGCTTCCCTAGCAAATTTTGAAAACCCATGTTTTCCTTGATTTTGGAGGGTAACCTCAGAGTCATTTGTGATATTCTCTTCCACAAAAAATTCCTTTACATATGTCTGTCACTCAATGCAGTTTAAATAGATAACTGAGTATTATTATTCCACTAGTTTACTTGTCCATTTAAGAGAAATCCACCCCTACTCCCTCTCCCCTCCACAACTTCTGACATTTCCTAAAGTGTTTGTAGATAACAAATCATATTCTTGGGATCACAGAGGGACTGTGAGAGGACATAAATCAACCCCCCAGCCCTCTGCAATTTCCAAAGATTTCCTGACCATCTGAGTACATTGTATATCCACTGACACCCCTGAGCTGAGAGAGGCACCCTGAAACAATAGAGTGTGGCCTAAGAAAATGACAAAATGAGCTGGCTGAGGCTCAGATCCAAACCTATTACCTGAAATCCATTAAATGAACCACTATCCCATTGCAATTTTCACATAAATAAATAAATGAGTAAATAAGTAAATTTCAAATGGCTAAATTGTGCATGCATTGTGATAGATTCTTAACCACGATCTATAGCCGGAGGACAAATACATACATTAACATTAACAATTTTTTTTGCTCTCTTTAGCATCGTAAACAAATAGATTCCATGCTGCCATGGATCTACTCTGCAATGGATCACAGAAGACACCCTCAGCTTCAGCTGTGTACCACTTTATTGATCTTACCATATTTTGACTTCAACTGTAATCTGTTACTCAGCAGATGCAGGGTAACAAGGAATCTAATTGTTAAATAGATGATTTAACAAATAGATAGATCAATAATATGAGTAGATACTAAAGAATATAACATCAAGTCTCTCAAAACCTTAAGCTTTCCACTGGCATGACTAATATAACAAAGACAAACAAAACTGTGTTCAGCACTTACAACGCTGATTGAGATGAGCACATTGACCTTGCAGTATTAGTCCTGTAGCAACTTTGTATTCTGCAAATAAAAAAACAAAATGCTTATGAACAAAACAAAAAAAAAAAAAGGAGCTAATTAAAATTGTTCCGACATGGCTTAAGGAATTAACTCTTTGACCATTATGAGTGACTAACATCTAATTTCTCCTTACCAAATTATCTCCGAATCACACGTTGTGGTTATAAGAATGAAGCACTAATCACCAACTAAAGAAGCTCTACATTGTTTCACAAATTATTCACGTCAGAAGCTTAAATGATGTGCAGAGAACAATATGGAGAATATGCATACTGATGTTGGTGAAAAGAGTTGATAATGAGGTGATCACTTTCGTTGGATCGAGGACTGCATGTTGCATGCGATGTACATCTGCAAAAACTGTACAAATCGCTCCACGAATGAATAGCATTTCTGAAACACAAACGTTTTACCTTGGGGGTTGGCGACTAAATAAAACTCTTGCATCACTGAAATTCCGAGTAAAAACCCCAAGAAACTTGTTACTTCTTCGCGAACATGAAAGACAATTAAGTAACACCAATGCCCTCGTGGCCGCCATGTTGGATTTTGAGAAACTGAAAAGGACTTGGTAACGAGTATTTCCAACACGAGGACTCATGGGAAGAAAAGGACTCGTTCCCAGTTGCTTTACATGGAATTAGACACACGGTCAACACGAGAAGGTAGGCAAGGAAGGTGCAACAAACTGCTGGGAACAAATACACTGAAACACTCCATCTGAGCCGTGTATCTGGACTGTCATCTCAATCTTGCCCTGTTTATTACTAATAGGCAACTGTTCAGGTGAAATTATTTTCCACCCTCGTACTTTTAGGTGCTTCTTTATTACTCAAGACTGTCCTCATTAGCTTGCTCGCGTAGAACTGTGTATCATTGAGAAAATAACCATACAATTGTATAGTTTGTTTGCATATTTATCGCGAAACTAAGGAAAACGATACAAGATACAAATGGATAATCTAAAGATTGAGAATTTTTTCCGAGCAATTGTCGCTCGTCAAATATTGCGCACTCTATTTGTGGAGAAAAACAGACCAGAGTAAAATGCATTCGGTGCTACCTGACAAAAAGTAGGCATATAGACAGGGCGTGGGTGGGAGGGTGAGTAATTCACACCAGAGTTTCTTTACGTAAGGGTGAAGCTTTGGAAAGCTTTCCTAGATTGACCTTGACTTCATCCTTGTCCATTTTTTTGAAATAGAATCCAGTGTGTTCCCAGATGTCACAAAGACGCAAGAAAGGCCCCTCCCCATCCCCTTCATAGCCCAAGATTGTCCGGAACCAAGATGAACCCTGCTTTTTTTTCCTTTGTTTTCTGTTTTTTTGTATATGTTTATCGTTTTTTTTCCCTATCAACTTTTGTTCTAGTTCTTTTTATTTTGCTTTTTGTTTTTATCTTGTTTAATTGGGTTTTTCCTTCGTTCCTTTCTTTACTTCTTTTGATTTTCTATTGATTCTGTTCAGCCATAATTTCATCATATTGTGGGTACAGATATCTACGACCGTATCTAACTAGGTAATAATACTTTTCTGTATACAGCTGCTGCAATACTGAGTGAGAGTACACCATACGCACTAAAGCCCCTGAGTGCTTTTATTGACTGCGTAAACTAAACGTCCACCATGGGTGGTCAATAACTACAAAAAATGAGCAAATCCAACTATTTAAGCTAGAAAAAGTGTTTAGAGCTAAGAGGAGCGCAGAGGAAATTTAGTGTCTATCCAAAGACAATTTAAACTTAAAAAAGAAAAAAAAACCTTAAGATACTCCATTCATACAATTACAAAGTACTACCAAAACATTTGACATTTTAAGAAACTCTGTACTGCTTAAATTTTGTTTTCTTTTTCCTCAATTTAATATCAAGATGTGATCCTTGGGCAAAAAAAAATAGAGAGAAAAGAAAACAGTACAACTGTTCGTGCTCTACCCTAACTTTCAACCTTCTCGCGCGTGATTTAGTGGTCAAGAGGGCTATTGAACATACTATTAGGTTCTATTTTTGCTGATATTGAATGCCTCTTAGAATGAAGCTAAAAGTTGAAAGAGCCCCTTTAAACATAGGCAAAAACACAAAATTATGCGTCCACATAAATATGCGAAATAGGGGCTCAGTTGTTGACACGAAAATCTCTGCTCACTAAAATTAACACTAAGATAAATTAGTGAGGCGAAAGAGATCAGCAAATTGAACATAATTGTGTTTTCGGCAGTGACATTATATCACATGACACTAACGTGATCAGTCAGGCGTTTAGACCACAATCACGGGTTATGCATGCGTTCATGTGATTCTTCTCAGCCGTCATCAGTCAGTCACCATTCACTCATGTATTTCTTCCAAATGATTGCCGTGGCAACCACCACGCCAACCTGTGAGGACGGAAAAAAAAGGTTTGAAAATTACTAGTTTGAGAAAGATATCATGAACAAAAATTGTTACATGACAACTTCTATCCCTTTCTGCTAGTCACGTCAGTATAAGAAAGAAAGAAACAGAAACAGATTTAAGAAACAGTTCAACGGAAATGAATTCGTTAGGTGACACTTAAATCCCCTGCACCTTCACAAAAATTCCCTCTCTCGCATTTTTTCAATGGACAAAAAAAGATAGGCAAAATAAAATCAACCCTCTAGTTACAAACTTAAGGTTTACGATTTCGTTTCGTTCGTCTCCGTAGCCTAAACGAAGTCCACGAAATCGGTGAGAAAAAGTGGCGCACCGCGTGAAATGAACATTGTTTTTGTTGTTGATTGACAAATTTGTATGTAAACAACCTTTACTGTACAGACCTCAACCAACAAGAAAAAGAATCCCATTATCTTGACTACCAATAGACGTTTTCCTACGGAGCCCTTTACCACCTCTAAACATCCCTACAAAAGAAAAAAAACACAGTTAAAAGAAAACAGCTCAACACTCGCAATTTCCAGTACATTGAGTTCAGGGTTTTTCTCTCCTTAAAACTTAAAAACCAAAGAGCGAAAAAAAAAACCATACAAACAAGCAAACAAAAAAAGACAAATTAAAAAAGGGGTCCAGATACAAAAGGGAATTTTCTGTTGAAATCCAGTTAAAAAGAGGAAAACAATCCTTAGACACGTCAATTCTGCGGCGATAATTACACAACTATCAGCAAAACAAAACTCACCCTGCGGTTGATATCGTCAGTTTCAAACTTAAAGCCACACCCAAACTCATTTGTTTTACAGCAGGTGTCTGGTACTGCGAAGATTCTACGTCCTCCAAACTTTGTATTTCTCCAGTCAGTATAATAATTCACTCCACAACAATCCTCCTGTACATACACAAAAACGTATGTCAGAATTACTGTTGGGGTTTCTAAGAACAGGATAATTAAGAAAAAATTTCATTGTTTTTTACTACGGTATCATCCAAGATACCGTGCGCTTTAACTGCAAACCTCTGCATGAGCTTGATTTCCGCCTCTCTTTTTCTCAAGTCCAGTCTTCCCGCCCGAGATGAGGAGGAAGGACGAGCGTGGGCGCATTTCCTGACCAGCGGCTGGTTATAACTTTATACTTCATTCATGTAGTTAATTGGTAAAGAAAATCAATGGTGAAACCAGCATGGGGTTATATGAAAATCTTTCACTTTGCTCTATCACACATAATACTTACTTCACTTTGTAGCGTGTTGATATTCGTTGTCTCTTCTCTTTTTCTTCCTAAACCATAGTCCTGAATATTGATCTTCATATCATTTTCCATGTCATCAAGCTAGAACAAAATCAAAACTAAATTGCACCGCTAGGATTCAAACAAATTGCAAAAATTTCACTGTGAATGGAAGTAGATTCATTGATATCTACTATTGGGTTTTAATAGCCACACTGTGTAAAGTGGATGTCTTTCAAGAAAATGAGAAACAATTTTTTTAAATTTTTTTTTAACTTAACTCTTTACATGCAGTTATGATTGCCTTCACTGGATAATGAAGTATTACTGGTTGTTAGCATGAAAGTTAATACCCTAAATCATGGCTGAGGGGATCTGAGTCAAAGCCCTATTAGGATCACTTTGTTGTTCTTTTGGGCAACATATTATGATACAAGACTGCTTTTTTTTCCAGTCAGGAATATTATTGAAGGAAATTTTTGCAGATGCTCCCAATTTCAGATTCAAGAAAAGACCACAACACCAAGAGCTACATATGTTCCCTACTCTTTATGATAACTGTGTATGTTCTTTTATGTCCTACAATCAGTTATCTGAAGCAGTAGAGCAGACTTCATGCCAGAACATGAAGTCTAAAGATGCTATATGGCAAATTATTACACATGTTAGTGAACAACACAATCAGGTTTCAATTTAGGACATCTAATGAGTAATAAAAGTAAAAAGAAATTACAAGTTAATCCTATTCCTCACCTCTAAAGTAAAACTTGTGATGACTGCAACCAAAGTGAAAATGGTGGCCAAAGCAAGAATTATGATGTACTATAAGAAAATATTGAAGAAAATGGGAATTTTAATCATTCAAGTTAATAATTCAACTAAGGTCATTGCTCAAGCTTAAGAGTCTTGTGTATTGCTTAAGATGTCACCTCACCAAAAGCAGGACCTGTCCACCACTATGAAGGCTATGGCCTTCAATCAGTTTGTAGAAAGGATTCTTGAGGGTTGATGAAGGGGAGCTTTGGAAAAAGTCCTCCACAGTAAGAATCACTTTTAATAAACTTTGTTTAGAAGGTCTTTCATTCCTTCTGTCTTTCTCTTTCCTTTTTTCTTCTTTTTTTATTTTGTGAGAATTACATGCATTTTTCATTTTTATTCTTGTTATTAATCCAGCTTTGCAAACACCTGATATTACTTTACCATAAAATTATAACTATTACATAAATTATTAAGCCTCATCTGGACTGCTAACTCATCATTAATGTTGTTGAGGAAGAAAAAAATCTCACCACTAGGGAACATTTCTTCATAAGAGGAGAATCTGCTCTTTTAATCACTATAAAACTGGCTATGCTGGCCACTGTAATGCACACTCCAGCCCCCAAATACCACTCAAATGGCCTCTTATTCTCTCCTCTGGTCACTTTGAAATGATAGTTTTTCCATCCAAGCACTATGCCACTGGTCAAAAGCATGATAAAGCCTACAACCTATGATCAGAAAAAAAAATAAATTACCTATTAATACCTATAATTGAACATAAATCATTATTAGAAATTATTTGGATTTGAATTCACTATAATTTCAAAATTTAAATACAATTCTGGTAGATAAATATGAGTTCCAACAACAATCTTTATGCATGCAAGTGAAGCATATCTGGGTTGACCAGTTTATGGTGCATAAGTTTCACATTTTTTTTAAATCAAATGTTTTTTAATTGATCAGAGTTAAATTACAGAAAAGTTCAGAAAGCTGTTCATGAAGGCTGCTTTAATTATAATAATATCATTCAGTATAATTGCTGCCATGATTAGAGAGACAGGTGCCTTCGAATTTTGTTGAGAATTGCACCATATCTCACAATGATCACCTTGCACTAGGTGATTATAGCAGGGATACTAAATTTCAAAATTGCTGACTTGCGTTATGTCAATGTTACACAGGAAGTGATAAATGTGATTATAGAAAAAAATTCAATACAAAAAAGCACAAAAGATGCTCCTACATTTGGGGTACTACTTTTTAAAAGAAAGATTTGAAGTTTTAGCTGATTGAATTGAATAAACCCATCACATTCTAGTGGAAACTGGCTGTTCATCTTGATACAAGTAATCAAAACAATTGTGACAGAATGGTGTTAAAGTCAAAACAAATTAATCACAGAATTTCAATTTAAGCACCTGAGCAACTATACTGAAACAATTATTTACCATTAGCAAACAATAGTCAATTAACAGCATACAGCATAGCAATCATAGCATCTAAAACACTGATAATCCAAAAATGAAGTTATATGAGAGGTACTGATGCATAAATTTATCAGTATATGATGAAAAGTGAACCAAAAAACCTGTGTGGTTTAAGAGTTGAACCCTTACAGAATCAATAAGACAGTGAAAAATTACAGATGTCATCAGACTAAGGAGACAAGCAATCCTCTCCACCTACCTAAGTGGTTTGCAATTTTTGTTTAAAGCTAGTTGTCAACTGAAAACAATCAAACATACTCTTTTGAATCACCAACATGTAATTACCGTAACGTAATTACCAATCAAGTGCAGTGGTTGATGGTCAAGAGCATTGTATATACCATACAGATAAAAAATAAAAATAATTACTCACTATCATACCACCAACCATCCCTGGAAATACTTTATTAGTATAAAACCTTTTTTTCTCACTACCAGGTGGAATCAAACGTGCCATGATTTGATCTCTGGCATGTATTCTAGAGAGAATGATTGAAAAGTAGATCAAAGACTCATTTCAAATAAAATCAATTACACTATAAAGCACATTTTGATTGGGTGCTATAAAACCAAAACCAAAACCAAAACCAAATTTGTAATGAGAAATTCTGTCTTAATCACCCTGGGAATCAAAGGGTTATACAAATCCATAACACAGGCAGATGGAGAGAAGTTAAAATTGTGATCTTGGAAATCATACTTAAGATATGATACCAAATTCTCAGCTCTACTTAACAAACAAAAATTAATGTACGATGGCTTACAAATTTTAGGTATCAAACTATAACTGAGACAAGACATTACATGTTAACATGCAGTTTCAAGTCTTGCAAAACATAATTTTGCACTTGACTGGTTGCGAATGAAGTATAAGTTTTTAAAGCTCAATAAAAGTAAAATTCACAATCCTCATTGTGTTACACTTCATCCTAAAGATCTTAGCCATACCTTTACGTCTCGCTGAAAGTTTGCTCTTGTATTGAATATTGGCTTCAGAAAACTGGTAACCAGTCTCTCGCCTCGTTCGGAACGCAAAAAAACGAGGGAAAGCTAAGCAAAAATCAGAAGTAAATAAAATGCAAATTAAGGGTTGTCTTTGGATTGATAGTATGGGAAATGTAAAACGCGTTGCATATCCTTGATTTTATAGTTAAATGTGAGTTTAGATAATTTAGATACAGGAAAATTCGTACCTGTACAAGTTCCGAGAAACCGTTTCAAAGTCCTTTACCAGTATATTGCTCGACCGAAATATCACGGACTTCGTCGAACAAGAAACATCTTTTGAAAACTCCAGAAGTTTAGTTCAGCAGAAGAGAGGGTCGACAGTAATCGTGCAAATTACAAAGCCCTTAATCTCAATTTATGCTGTGTATCAAATATCTATCCACCTATCGAAGAGCACGCGATGTCGAACAATAAACGATGTGTCGAGCCCTGTCTATAACACTTTCAAGTCAAAGTGTGTGTGTGTGTGTGTGTGCCTACCTGAAAATCTGTGATCGAACTCGCCCTGGATCAAATGTGGTTGGCTACTCTCCTTGTTTTCATGAAGCGAGAAACATTTCTCAGATGGTTTTCGCCTTCGTCACGCCTTTCAGATAAGAAGCTGCATAAATTTGTTCAGGGAAAACGTTGTTTTCTTTTCTTTGTCGCACCCTATGGCCGAGCTAGAACGCGCGAAACCTAGGAACGAGTAGTTTCAAATTGCTAACCAGGTCCCTCGACACTTGTCGCAGGAAAGTTATCAGCTATGGAAATTATTAAAAAAGGAAAATTTATATTCCGTTATAAGTTGTCTACCTGATTCCTGAGGGTCCCCAATAGATTTTTGGGATTGCGGGATTGTTATTATGAACGAGACACGGGAAACGGCGAAAAAGCCGAGAACCGGGAAATCCGTTGACAAGAGTTTAAAAAGAGTTTATCAACGCTAAAGACCGAAGAAAGCCCAGCCTTCCGCGCAGCCGTTTTCTGGGAAATCCCGTTTCACTTCTCCCTGCAAAACACGAAAGTAGCACGCAATTTCTCTTGAAACGCCAGCGTGGAAGGCTCAGAGAAAGCCGCACAAAGGTGTGTTATGACAGTCTTATCTGCGCACGTGCTGGGCACACGGCCTTTGGGCTTCGCTGTTGTTTTCATAACCCACTGGTTATGTCTAGACATAGAACCTCGCCCTATTCTGAAATAGTGACCTTTGAGTTTTGGGTGACTGATAAATTTATAAATCGGGAAAAATAGCAGTACGTTCCTCTGTACGGATGTCAGCTATCGAAAGCGATGAATCGAATCCAGTTTGACATAATGGCATGATAGTATGGGAAAAAAATAAACGCGTTGCATACCCTTGATTTTATAGTTAAGTGTGAGTTTAGATAATGTAAATACAGGAAAATTCGTACTCGTACAAGTTCCGAGCAACCGTTTCAAAGTCCTTTACCAGTATATTGCATGACTGAAATATCACGGACTTCGTTGAACAAGAAACATCCTTTGAAAACTCTAGAAGTTTAGTTCAGCAGAAGAGAAGGTCGGCAGTAATCGCACAAATTACAAAGAAAATGAGCGGGAAAACGAGACGCGGCTTCCCCGATTGTCTCATTGTTTTACTAGAGATCGTTGTTTTATCAGGGTTTTATGGCAGAGCTCCTGTCTATAAATGTATTCGTTGCTTCTAGTACTTACGAAAATGATTCGTTGCTCACGCGGCTAGCTATCAATTAACCGTGACGGCGGAAAAGGGTTTTGACAATGTTCAAATTGAAATGGTAATCAACCGAATGCATTTACTTAAAAGGCAAAATTTACGTGTGGTTTCATTTTAAAAAAATTAGGAAAAAGATTACCACTCATATTTTTCGAGCCTAAAAATCATGGTTATGATTCTACAGGTGACAACAACGTACGTTCTGGTATCATATATAACTTAGATTCTTGTTCCTTTCAATCATAACTGTGTTGGGAGCGAAATTCAATGCTTTCGTAAAACAGCATACATCTGTGTAAGGAACACATTTGGTTGGTGCAAAACTCGTATCGCATATCAAACGTGAGCGTAATGATTGCCCTTAGCGATTTTAAAAAGACTAATGCTCCCTGATTATGTCTTCTTCATTGGTTTATTGGTTTAATACAAAACAATTTTCTATTGGAAAAAATGATTGTCATTCTTAAATTTTTGGAGAGAAAATCCAGATCTGCTCCTCTGATTTGAAGTAATTATGCCTATTGCTACTTGCATACACATCAGATGCCAAATTGTTAAAGCGATAACTAGAGGATGACGGTATCCTGCTTAAGTTAGTTTTACGCGTCTTTTAAAGACCTGATCTTCATTTTTTGAATAATACTTAAAAAAGATATAGAAGATGACTTGAGAGAGAAATCCGAATATCCTCTCATTCTCATCACACCAAGTTTCCGAAATCCTTTCCATTCCTTTCCTTCTAGTCTTGTCCTACAAAAGTACCACTCCCTAGAAGATAATACAAAAAAAGCTCTAAACTTGGAAAAAACTGTTTTCAAATATTCTCCGCTGACTTTAGTTTCATTCAGTTCTTGTTGATTAAGCAAATATATATATACATATATATATTTGCGACCCAATTATGGCCAAGGCCAATCCTCATTCACAAGACAGCCATTCTTTTCGTAGTGCTCTAACAAGCTTTTCCACGCTGGATCCAATGCCAGAAGATACCTGTTTCCTAAAGAAAATAAGATGAGGCTTGGTTATTCAAACAATACAATGATGGTGCCCTATCCGACAATCGTGGTGCTTTATTTGTAAACTTTATAAACTTCTTTGTTTACCTCCACAACTTCCACTAAGAAGGAATGAAAAAGTTACTAAGAGTTAGATCCAACTTAGGGGATTTAGAGGATGAGATGAAATTACGGCTCTGATCGCAGAGTCTGGTAAACCAAAACCAACGACATCTTAGAATGCTTTAAAAACTCTATCTTAACCTTCTCTGACAAGACTTGAACTGCATATCTCACCTATAATGCAAAGTCCTCTGCGTGCTCGAGTGAGTCCCACGTTCATTTGATGCTCATCAGTCAAGAACCCCAGATGTTCACGAAGCCAAGAAGGGGAAGGCTCAGGATCTATTTCGTCACGGTTCACGGACCGAACCAACGATATTATGACGTAATCCCATTCACTCCCTAAAATATGAGAGAAAAAGGGCGACGTCGAATGTCAAAGTTCAACACTTTACCAGAGCTGCACCTTCTTCCAACGCGCGCGATTTTTTTCGATCTCAGATCTCCCTATTTTTTTCAAAGAGCTATGTAAGTTTATATTGAACAGTTAAGGTACGTCACGAATAATATTAATGATAAGGATTCGTTTACTGTTTATAAATACTGTATTTATTCCTAAGAGTAACTTGTTACTGCCTTACCTTGACTTTTAGTGATTGTTGTAACTTTGATATCCTCATATGCTCCCTTTAAGAGCTCAGTGATTTTGCTTCGCTGTTCTCTGTAAGGTGACAGGATGACCACATCTGACTTCCGCACATGGGCCACGTAACGGTTAACAAGATGCTTTGCTATTTGAACCTGTTCGCGAGGAAAGAGGAGGAAGTGAGAAAGGATGACTTTATAGCCGCGTAAAGCTTCAGTATAGCAAAGAGTACTCTGGTACACAGTTCCCAATCGAACGATGAAGGGCTAAGGATCATTTGGCGACTATCCTTTGACAGTTAAAATATACATCAAGTGAACATGCAGAAAAAAAAATGTATTTCTGATGTGAGCAGAGGTTTTAGGAAGAACTTTTTTAGTCTGGACCAGCTTTTGTCTCCAGAATAAACATGCCTTTCAGATAGAGGTGACTCCGGCATAGAAGGAGTTCCACTGCACTTTAAAAGAAAAGGAACAAAAAAAGTCGCAGATCAACCACATCATTGGCTTTAGGAAATCTGGTAGTGATTTAACCTTATTTTAGCCATAATACATTAAATGTCTTCTGTATGATGATAAATCTTAAGTTAAGCTTGGAAAATACTCACGTTACTTTGCAATCACACATATGAACTAAGAGAACATGAGCTGCAAATGATCAGATCATGTTCTTTTGTTTGAAAGAAATTTGATATACCTACTTCCTTAATCTTCCAACTTTCTCAAATTTGGTGAGAATTTACTTACTGCCTTATGAACTTCTTTCATGTTTCTTTTGGACTCCTCGTTGCTCTCTGAGGTTGCTATGGGAGCAGACTCTTCTTGCCCTTCAACGTGACAGAAGACAATTGGTAGTTTCCTCTGGCGGCGCACTTGTGCAGGCCAAAAGGAAACGGGACTAGGAGCACGTGACTTCACCACGTCAGCTGTACGTAGCTTTTTATTATAAAATTGTGTTGATGGAAATTCACAAATTCCATCATGCTAGAAATAGGAAGAGACTTGTTAAAAAGATGTCTTTGTAGAGACAAAAAGAAGTTAAATTGCATTGTTTTCCTGGTG